GTGTGCCTGCGAAAAATCTTAATCGTACCCTATCGGAAGTAAACAATTGTAGATGTGTAGATCAGGTAATTCCCTATTCCACAGGTGAAAAAGAAGGATATCTTGCGAGTAATGCGGCTAAAACCTTTGTGCGAAGGATATAGAAAAAAGATAATAAATAGGAATTAATAAAACAGGAAAGAGACGCAGCCTTCATTGCAAGTCACTAGCTCTCTGCGTTCTTAGCATTTCGCTGATCATGGCCTGTGCTTTTACTCAGTACCTCCCAAATTGTTGACATGATCACCTTATAACAATATAGTTTACCAGTATCCTAATTCCCTAATTTGCAAAACCACAAGAAGTTGATTATTTTGCAGATGACCTTGCATCATAAACTTTTGCTCGATTTTGTAAAAGCTGTTCAAATCCGTCCGGAAGTTTACGAAGATCACAATGCGAAAGATGCTGAGAAAGCATGGGAAGTTATAGCAGATCAGTTCGAAATCACAGGTATGCTTTGCTGTTTCTTCAAAAGTTTAATGAGCTAGATAAGCACTAAGTTTCTTTTACAGTTTCGGACGCCAAAAAACAGTGGTTAGAATTGGTTCGGATACACCGATTTATGTACTTGGATCTGCCTGATGAAGCATTCAAGGTACAAACTAGCATTTTTTATAAATAATTTTTACGGAAGAGCTGTAGAGCGAAATGAGATAGTCGTGTGGAAAAACTAGTTTGGCCAAAAATAAACCCTTACCTGAACTCTGTATTTTTCTCTTCACCTTTGAATCTGCTCGAACTATGGTTTCATCTTCTCATTTAGAAGAGTACATTTCGAATGAATGAAATTTTTGTTAAGCACACAATCCTTAGTTTTCACTTATTTTTCCTTTAGCTTGTAGGGGATTACCTATTCTATTTTTTTTTTCAGCACAAAAAGATACAGTTCGCATTTTTTGCTCTTCAAAAGCTACTGCTTCATAAAAAATTTGTTCTGAATATGGACTTGGATGCGAGTTTTATTTTCTATCAAAATTCTTCAAAATTTAGGTCATAGCTCCCAAGGAGGATCCACGTTGGCAAACGGCCACTCGACAGACCGCAATTACACTAGCACACTTCCTGCAAAATGATCTCAAATTTTTATTCAAAGATGAAACAATTATTTAGAATTTTTATAGATGAATTGTTTTGTAAATAAAGATTCTATTCCTTTAGGAAAGTGACTGCAGAATCAGACAGT